GAGCTCACTCAACTAGAAGTGTTGCATCCTCCTGGGCGCTGGCTCGTGGCGCCTCGCTGACAGATATTTGTAGGGCTGCGGGCTGGGCGACCCCCAATACGTTCGCTAGATTCTATAGCCTCCGTGTGGAGCCGGTATCCTCCTGCGTTCTCACCTCAAAGGGGTAGTGGCGCCGAGAGGCCCCGGTTAGTGTCGGCTTGCTAAAACTGCTCCAGATTGTCCTACATTAGACCCTCTTGAGACCCTCCATCACCCTCGGCAGCGATGAATCTGCGGGAACCGTGGAAGGCTGGGTTCCATATTGAGACCTAAGCGGTTCTCGTATGTGTATAGCCCACGGTATATCCATAGAGCCCGTGTTTCCCCGGCAGCCTTCTGTCTTTCCAAGAGGGTTACAATCACCTCCAGTTCTCCATATACACCTAAACGGATGCCATATGTGTATTTGCTTCCGAAAACTCCTTCGGAAAGGATGGGGCTTCCGCAGCGTCCCTGTTCCAAGTGGAGCGGGTACGTTTTTCTAGTGTTATCCAATCTCACTCAGTAAGGTAGTGCTTTGAAAAAGGGTGAGTGGAACTACTTGTCCCGAGCCCCGGCCTACACCAGATAGGGGCTCAGGCGGCTCGCACAGGGCACTGGAAGGGTATTTGTTGCATCCAGTGGGGACATAATTACGGATTATAATGACTTATACTGTCTTTTTACGTGTTGCGTTGCATTGCGCCACGTAAACATAAAACCGTGTCTGCATTTGTGATCGGAGAAATGACAAACAACAAGCGCTACTCTGCATTGCTCAAAACTTGCGTTTGAATATAATCAGTTGCAAATCCTTTAAATGCAAGCGTCACACATGGTGGGATAGAGTGAGCGGAAGCCGGCGGGCTAGAGTGAGTGGCGGCCGGGCTAGAGTGAACGGAGGCTGGTGAGCTCGAGTGCTTTCTTTGTGTGAACATTTGGGCAGCGTTACGCAAATCTTCCCACATCGTGATGTAGACATGTGGGGGCGTGTTAGAATGAGTCGTTTTAGGTAGGCATGGTTGACTCTTAACTTTTATAAAGAATATCTCTTTGGATTTGAGACTTTAGTCTTTGCAACTTTACAGATCTTCTTTATGCACCAAGAGCTTGTAACACTCCAAAGAGAAAGGAAAAATTGAAATCGCACCATATGACCCCTTTAAGATATTTTTGATGAAATCCGAGAGCTTTCTGACTCTGCATAGACAGCAATGCAACTACCAAGTTCAAGGCCCAGAAAGGTGGTTAGGACATCGTTAAAATTTCCCATGTGACATCAGTGGTTCAACTGTAATTTTATGAAGCTATGAGAATACTTTTTGTGTGCAAAGAAAACAAAAATAACAACTTTATTCAACAATTTCCATATCAGTCAATCCATGTTCACAAGAGTACCACAATGCATGCGTGTGATGATGCTGCTGACGCAGGAGCCGCTGTTCTGACGTAAAATCTGGATGCACTACACCTTGTTTGCAAGCAGAGGAATGCACACGCATGTGTTGTTTTCAAATTTTCATTTTTGGGTGAACTAATTCTTTAATACTCTCGAATAACTGAACACGTTTATGCAAGCTGCTGCAACTGTACAAATAAATTTAATTGCTGTAAGCCCCATTAAATGGCCAAATAGGTAGCTAGGTAAATGCCTATTTCACTTTAACACAGTGTCTACACCAGACGCAAGAGGCACAATGCGACAAAATCTATAGAACCCATTATAATAGGTGAAGCTGTTCGCACTGTATGAGAGCGATACGACCAACATGACAAATTCCCGACGGTAAACCAATGTCCTGACGTACTTCAAACTCAAATAAAAAATATAGATACTAAGGTGTTTTATTTAGCCATGATTTTATTTAACAAAAAAAATAATGCAAACAATATGCATTGAATTGGATGAATAACCTGTGTTAGTGAATATACTATAGAACTATTTTCCTGCTCATCTGCAACACATGCAAATGTTGCAAGACAGAACCAATCAATCACAGAGAGCGTTCACTCACTTCTGACAGTGCATTCACACAGGGCTGCGTTACCCAAAAGTATCATAAGAAAACATTGATGCTTTTGGGAACGGCAGCCCAGAACAATGGATGAAAACGATTGGATGAAAACGATGGATGAAAACATCCATGTTTGAGTTATTTCACAATAAACCAATTGAAATGGTAGCCTACATAGTTTGTGCAATTACATGTATTTAAATGGAATGTTAAATGTTCATATTGATCATGTTCTATTCTGTAATGTTAATATAAATCATACACTGTCAGAATAAAAAGGTTGCATTTTATGTGTGCAACAGCCTTTCACTGGCAGTCCCTTATGAAAATTAACCATGGTTTTACTGTAGTTCAACTATAGTATTTGCAGATTTCCGTGGTTACCACTACAGTAAACATATTTAACCATGGGTAAACAAAATATAACCTAATAAGTGTCCTAGTTTAGTTCTGTTTTAGTTTGGTTTTTGTCCAGTGACCTAGTTTTCCTTGCGTTCCTGTCCTTAATTAGTTAATTTGTGCACCTGTTTTGCCTTTGAGTTGATTGCCATGTGTATTTCTAGCCCTCTGTGTCCTTAGTTTGTGTTCTGTCTCGTCGCTAGATAGTAGTTGTGTGTATTCTTGTTCGCAAGCTTCATTAAATGTATTTGGTACTTGTAACCTTCTGTATTCGTTTCCTCTCTTCCCACACATGGCGTGACAGAAGACTGAACCAAACTTAAGATGAAAAATAGACGCGCCATTGCTGCCATCAACACTCCACCACTCAGCTTGGGACCTCAGGGAGAAGCGGTGGTGGCATTCATTTTTCAGAGCGGCCGGTGTTTGGAGGACTACGTGGGGGAGTTCCTGGACACCTACCACCTTGCCCGCTGCGATGAGGTCTGCTTGATGGATGGATTTTGTTACGGTCTGGACGATGACATTCACTTTGTCATGCCTCAGGGAGATCCGTGCTGGACTATCAAGAGCTACATCAACTTCGCGCTGTGGATTACAGGATCCGCATTCATGATCGACGAAGTAGATGTCAAGGATTACATCAGTGTCCAGCCCCAACATGAAGGCTTCTCGCAGCGTGGCCCAGCCAGCCATCATCTCCGTGGAATCTAGATCTCCACGGAGCCCGAGCAAGTGTGTGAGTCAGCAACATCGATCGTGTCTGTGGGAATAGGGCATGGAGGATAGCCCCGCCCACATTCTTACCGCTGAGGGTGAACTGCCGCTGGACTCTGGAGACCTGCTCTAACTATTTGATCCCCTCTTTTCCAAACTCCCTCTTCCTTCTGGTCCTGTCTGTCTGTCTGTCTTCCCTGGTTCCGTCCAGCCCTAACCTTCTGTCTTCTCTGTTTCCTTCCTACCCAGATTCTTCTGTTTCCCAGTCGGTTTTATCCAGCTCTGAATCTCCTGTCTCCCTGCTGGTTCCGTCCAGCCCTAAACCTTCTGTGCAGTCTATGTCTCCTTCCGGCCCTGAACCTCCTAAATCCCTCAGACTCCCACCCATCCTCCACGTCTTCACCTCATTTGCCAGAGCCTGCTGCTCTGCCTTGGCCCTCTGGATCCTCTGTGTCGCCCAAGCTCCGTGTGCTCGGCTTCATCTGGGTCTCTATCGCCGGCATCATCGCAGGAACATCGCAGTCCACACTTCCCAGGCCTCCACCATGGCTCCTCCCCCCAGCGACTTCCCTTGTCTGCTACTCGGCTCGTCCACATGTCCTTCATCCATCCTCTGCAACTCCAGGCTGTGCCCTAGCTCCTTCCTCCTTCGTTGCCTCCCTGGTCCTGCTGGCATCATTCCCTATCCCTTCGACACTCCTGTCTTCTGTGCACCCTACACTTCTGTCATCCCTTTGCCCACTCCTGTCATTGGTCAGAGCCCAGATTGCCCTGTTGCAATAAAGGTTCAGATATAAAGTTAAGTGGATATCATTACCCATTTTACTCTTAGTAATTTAATAATTTAAAGGGGTCATATGATGCTTTTTTAAAGATCATTATTTGGTGTAACAGAATATGTTGACATGCTTTAATGTTCAAAAACACATTATTTTTCAAATACTGTACATTATTGAAGGTCCTCTATGCCCCGCCTCTCTCAAACGCTTCGTTTTCTACAAAGTCCCTCCTTCCAACAAGCGCAGTCTGCTCTGATTGGCCAGCTGACCCAGTGCATTGTGATTGGCCAAACACCGCAAGCACTTGTCGGAAATGTAACGTCCCTTACCATAATCGCGAGCTTCATCTTTCAAAATAAATGTAAAGACAGTAAATAATGTCATTAGTTTTACCATCAGTTCAAGCCCGAAAGGGGAACAGACACAGTAATGACGCAGAACACAAGCAGCGGTTAAGACAGCTGACTCTACTGTGATGTGATTCTACTGTGATGTGACACTGTCTCTCTGTCACTGTCTCTCTCTCTCTCTCTCTCTCTCTCTCTCTCGCGCGCGCACACACACACACTCACTCACTCACTCGCTCTCTCTCTCTCGCGCGTCGGAAATGTAATGCCCCTTACCATAATCGTGAGCTTCATCTTTCAAAATAAATGTAAAGACAGTAAATAATGTAATTAGTTTTACCATCAGTTCAAGCTTGAAAGGGGAACAGACACACTAATGATGCAGTACACAAGCCGCGGTTAAGACAGCTGACTCTACTGTGAAGCTGTCTCTCTCTCTCTCTCTCTCTCTCTCTCTCTCTCTCTCTCTCTCGCGCGCGCACACACACACACTCACTCACTCACTCGCTCTCTCTCTCTCGCGCTCTCTCTCTCTCTCACACGCGCGCGCGCGCTCGCTCGCTCGCACACGCGCGCGCGCACACACACACACACACACGATGCGCAAAACTCCGCATTTGAACAGTCAATAGCAAATACTTAAACTAATAACAAAACAGTAGCTGATTCAGAAGCGCCAGATTGTCATAAAGTCAGAATTACCTCCTCTCCTAGGTTCACGAAACGGTCGTCCATAAAATGCATTGCTGTTCTGTTGTAAGTAATCTTAAAGATTCCTAAATTCATCTACTTTCGGAAGGCCAAATAAAGTGCTTTTGCTTTCGCCTAGAAACACACAGCGTCTCCCTGACATGGCTGCTTCAACACTAACTGCGGTTACTGAAACCACGCCTTCTTTCTTTGCTTGCACATTTGGGAACATTATGCAAATATTCCCACATAGTGAGGTAGATATGTGGGGGCGTGTCAGAACGAGCCGTTTTAGGGGGGCCTGGCAGAGTCTTAACTTTGATAAAGAATATCTCTTTGGTTTTGAGACTTTAGTCTTTGCAACTTCAGGGATCTTATCTATGCACAATCAGCTTGTAACACTCCAAAGAGAAAGGAAAACTTGAAATCGCATCATATGACCCCTTTAATACATTTCATAATTCAAAAGTTCAGTTTAGAAGTATTGTATCGGTATCAACGATACTGGCCTTTAAAATGATTGGTATCGTATTGAAAACAACATAAATGGTATTGCCCATCCCTAATTTGTACGATCGTTTTGACGCTTCCACATGTACAGCCTGTTACAGCATGGCACCCCTCTGCATACACTGGAGCGAGTTCACTACCAGCAATGCTTTTCACTGTACCCTCATGTAACTAAATTGATTTTTTGCTTCTGCCACTGCTGCTATTTATAATATTCACTAACGTGTCAATGCTGCATTTGGAATACATGCTTTTGCTGTTAATGATATGTTAGACGTTTGTGGAAGACAGTTATACGAGTTCACCTTGAGTTTGGAATAAAACCGTGAAACGACAACTCCATTTGTGTTAACGACCCATCATCTTCCGCCATCTAGAGTTTCATGACAGAACTTGGAATTTTAGATAAATTATCAAATTGATGTATTCCTTAATAATATTATAAACTGAACATATGTAAAACACACATATAAAATGGGGGGGGGGGGCCCCATAGTTTTCCCCATAGATTTTCATAAGAATGAGGCCTATTCCTCAATCTTGTCTTTTTTCACCTCACCTGCATTATAGTTGCCCTGTAGCTCTGACTCAAGACCAGGATAATGAGTAGAGGTTAGGAACATTAATGCCACACATCTAGCTAGACAGAGTGAGCGTAGGAGGAAAGCATTCACCTCATCTCCTGAACAACAGCCCAGGTCTTCACTTGAATGATAATTAAGGCCTAATACAAACCTTAGTCTCAAGAAAGGAAAAATAAGTATTCTTCATTTTAATTAACAAAATGCTTACCAATTAAAGGGACTATCCCTGCATCCCAATGTTCATACAATCCATCCTAAATAGTATGTGAGGTTAGAATAAGTGTGTCCCAAAGCATAGTATGTTGAAAAGAGCATGCCAAAAGACCCTGGATGGTCTACTATTTCAGGTATATTTTTGGAGGGTAGATCATGCACACTCTCATGCTTAAGAACAATTAATCGCCTTTGCACAGCTTCTTGACTATAGCATCTACTTATTCACTTTGTCGAAGTAGGGAACATGTTATGCTCAAAAGCAAAACAAAAAGACATGAACTTTCTTTTATTCCCTGTGATTTTAAATTGTTTTATAAATTACATTTTTGTGGTGTTTGAATATATGTTATTTTTTAAAGCATTTCAGGTTGTACTGCTAAAAGAAAAAAGTATTGTTCTTTTGTTGCGCAATAACCTGTCTTGTCAAATTTTAAATACAACTAATTAACTCACTAACTCTAATGACTAATATTGCCCACAATCCATTGCACTTTGGCGAAGGAATTGGTTAAAACATGTACACAATAAGTGCACTGTACCAAATGATTAATTTAAATGCAAGTACATAGTAGTTAAGGCCACTCAACACAAAGTGGGGCTGAAATAAAAACTAAAGAAAATAAAAGAAAAAAGTGTGTCCACACTTTAGACTGTTTGATGTTACATTCAAACCCCCATGGGGGTCTTTCTTCTTTATATGTTGATGTTTTTTTTATTCATGACATTTAAATGTTTATGACATTTTTTTTTTATTATTATTTATGACATTTAAAACATTCAGAATGAATGTACCTCTGGAATATCTACTACAGCATTCTGGGCATAAAAAAGATAGCATTTTTTAGAATTGGGGTACTCGGACTCGAGTCCGGTCTCAAGTACAGTTTTTTAAAGGACTCGGACTTGTCACAGACTCGGATGTATTTTTACTCAGACTTGACTCGGACTCGAACCTTTCGGACTCGGAAAATATGTCAGAGTCCAGGGACAGTTGACGGAAATGTCACTGACTCAATGCATGATCACAAAAGTGATATTCAGTATTTGCATGTGTTTTTAAGTCTTACTTGAAGCCTACTTGAAAGCCGACGGGTTTCTTTGCTACCGAAAGCGCGCTCACAGAATAACGCGTCTCTCAGTCAGTGTGCGAATGCCGAGTTCTTTCGCTTAAGTTCTCTTAAAATCTGTTATTGCTACACACTTACACGAAAAGTCAACGAATTTCAAAATGCCCGTCTTGGAGACTATTCATGTAAATGCAGTCAGTTTTGAACTTGAACAGTTGGGAGAAATACAGATGTGTCAAAATTATTTGTTCTATGCGTCAGATCTTAAAGCAACAATGTAAACCTGCAACCGACGGGGTTTTATGAACAAAACCCCTACTTCCAAATTTCCCTGAAACTGGATTCTCATAAATACACTTTAGAGAGCAAGTTAATGTCCATCAACTTGACCCTTTCAGTGGATTTTTGGCACTCAGAGAGGTATGTTGCATGCAATGGAAACATATATTTCTAGTTTCAATATTATTTATTCTTCAGACATTCCCCTTTTAAATGCAATAAGTATCAGCTGCAAGGTGGACCACATTTGGTTTTTGACCATTGAATATGGGTAAAATTCAACTATTTGAACACGGAGCCACACTGAGATCCTCATATATCCTGGAAATAAACATATAGGGCTTTTAAGTGAAGTGACATGACATGTTAAAATGAAGATACCAAAATAAAAATGTAAGAACCATAATCTAAAAGGGTATTAAGAGATCTTTAATACTTCTTGAATTACAGACATGCAAACTTGGGGCAAAAACACAAGAATATCTTGTTCCCATTTTTTCAATTGGCATATAATGCAACAAAGACAGTTAAAGTCAACAGTTTTTAGTAATAGACCAACTGATCTCTTTGTAAAAATAAAAAAATGATGGTGCCATCTTTCTAAAGTTATTTTTACCCCTGTAATTTGGCTCCAAATCAGGCAAAAATTGTCCTTTTTGAATCTGAAGTGAAATTCATGTGGGGAACAAATCCTTTCATCTGTTTGACAGCTGTCCTGTGTGAGTGTTTGTGATGAACTAGAAGGCTATCTTAAGCGAGTATCTGTGCGACAATTACAATTTTAAGCTGTCAAGCAAGTGTCTGGCGCCGAACTAGAAATGCGTGTCTGTGAGACAGACTATAGTGACTGAGAGCTGATTTAACGTGTCTGTGCGACAGACTATAGTGATTGAAAGCTAAGTTAATGCATCTGTTCAACAGAGCTGAAAGCGTTTGTGAAAAAAGTGTTTGTGCAACATAAAAAAGCTGACTTAACGTTTGTCTGTGTGACAGACTAGTGTTCTGTGAGACAGAACCGAAGACCGATTTAGTGCATTTTCTGTTCAACGAAACTGAAAGCTGATTTAGTTTCTGTGACAGAACTGAAGCTGACTAAGCGCATGTATGTGCGACAGACACATACAATAGACTGGCAAATGTGAGTATGGATGAACATATATTAATTGTAGTGGGAGGAGTTACAAAAAGCTGATGCTGGCTGTCATGCCATGGTCTGCCTGAGCTACGCTTGAACTCCATTCGTCACTCAAACCATTCAATGCATTTGGTATCATGAACTCTTAGTATTTATTAATCTAAGTTAATGTTTAT